CCCCAAAACCCCAAAACCCCAAAACCCCATATAAGAAAATTATCGTGGAGGTATAATTAATAAAATGGAAAATATCATGATAGCAAAGAGATCGACCAAAATTTCTGGAATTAGGAACATTTTGAGATCTATAGCCAAAGAAGAAGTATCTCAAAAGCCTGCTTTTAAAGTGACCTACATTCCAATGACCACCAAGGCTAAGGTTATCAGATGTGAAAGAAAGGTGTCAGATATCAGCACAGAGGCTGAGGACTAACTCTCTGACTCTTACACAAAATATTCAATAACTAATTTCTAACTAATATCTTCTAAACTAACCAACTGTTAAATTGGAGCTTTTCGAGAAATCTCATGATAAACCATATATTTTAATAATCATCCAGGACCTTTTTCCATGATCCCCCACCGTTATTAAGAAGTTTTATTTAGACAATCTGCCAGTAGAGTCAATAGCCATGGCTATAGGTTCTAAAGTTATATTTTTTGGGCTCTCCTAAAGTTACATTAGTCTCAATTCACCAACATATGTAAAATATTTAGGAATGTGTCGACAATAATCATTACCGGATTTTAAGATACTGAACATTCATTCTCTTCTTCATATTAGCTGGGAATAATCTGAATGAATAAAAATGGAATAAATTACTCAATCAAACCCATGCCTTTGCCCTCATCTTTCAGCTTCCCTTCCATAAAATTTTCCGTACAATAAATTACAGGTATACTAGAAGAAATGAAAGTACCAAAAATTCCGGATTAAATTATCCGAACCTGGCATCATCTAACCTTCCTGACCTCTCCTAGATCTTCTAGCTTACTGTAAATCTCACTAATTTTCATTTTAGGCATAATTTCTCTCTCTAAATTTCGAATCAAACGCTGAAATCTCTACTCAAAATCCCCTCTCATTCGGTTCTATTGGTCATTATCCATTCTTGGCCTAAAGATAAATTCAAATTTATTACTTATTTTATGTGAAAGAAGCAATCTCATGGATATGGCTAGCTAGCCAGAACTGGAACATTTGAGAAATTTGGGCACAGAAGCAGTGAAAATTCATACCTTTGGTGGATGCTGTCACATGAGTTTATTAGATTATGAGCATAAGCCATTTCTTCAGGTTGTTTGTGATTATTATTTGGGCCTAAGATATAGTCAGATTATACAAGAAAGTGAACAAGTTCTTGATTACTGTATCTACTGAACTCACTCAGTTTTGATAGTTCGGGAAATTCTCATTATTAAGTCTATCACCGCAAAGTTATTTAAGTATTACCAGTGTTTATATTTCCATGCACTAAAATTTCAAACAATATTTACCTTTGAACTAGACCGCTCTGTAGGCATATGAATCCTCAAAAATTATACTTGTTCTTACATTCTTCTCAGTACCATTAATTTTTTCGGAAAAATCAGATGAAATAAACCCCAGTTGATTGTATATAGTAACTCAAGTTATTACTCCGCAAGACATAAGTCATCTTATTTTTATACTGAGACATCAGCATCATGAAAGCAGCCAGATATTCTTAGAGCTGGTCTTCTCAGCTAAATAATTAATATGAGCCAATTTCTCTACATCTAGGCTCTTCATGGACCCCTCTCGATCCATCCCCAAGAAGAAAATACCAAGCCAGTGATCTCTAAGGACTCAAGAGGAGCCTCATCAAGTGCAAGAGACCAACAAGATCATTGTACTGTACAAATTATGAATTCAGAGATAAGGCTAGGGGCCAAACCGGGTGCTCAAAGAAGATGGCTAAAAGTATTTAGGCTGCTGAACTAGTGAGCTAGTAGGAAATGAAGCAACTTGGGAGAGAGAGGAGGTTTAGGGGAGATAGGTGAGAGTGTTGGTCCTAATTGCCTGTTTTTATTAAAGAATCACTCCCAATGTTGTTAGAGGGATGATTATTGATGGGATTAAGTAATCATTTGGTATATATAACTTTCCAATACCTGATCAGAGGTTAGAGGAAATCTGATACTAAATTTCCATTTCATTCAGGCCTAACCTATAACAAATTACTCAACTAGTGTGAGCTCTTTTAAACCTAGTAGAGATTTATTTACAGAGTCTGTCAGCCTCTGCTTCACCATGATGAATTACAATTTGGCTCTTTAAATAATTCTCTTTTATTATCCAAACTTTCATAAAGAGTCATTTAGTGCCTAAAATTATTACTGAGTGTTTCAGGAAATAGCATTGCTAGGCATACTTGAGCTTTGTAGCATAATTAATGATTTTGAATCTTAAACCTCTGTCTTTAGAATAAAGTTTTGAATTTTCGGTTTGAAGAGGATCACAAAGTCTTTTATCTCAGGCTTGAAATAGGTTTATAGCAAGGTAATGTTTTTTCTATAGTTCAAATCTCATGAATTCTTCTTCCAAACAGATTCTTGATATTTAGCTCATAATACAGACTAAGATTGTAGAATTTTGAAGGCTTTTGAACTCATAAAAATGATGATATTAGTTATTATGACTAGTTATGCTTTATTTTATGGACTATATGGAGGCTAGACTTGAGTAAATTACTCCATCACTTATAAATACAGGGAGTTCTTAATCACATTGCATGAAAGTTCCAGATTTTATATCTGACAAATATTCTTACTTATTTAGTAACTTACTGTATTAAATATTTCTTCAAAATTACTAATAACAGATTTACATATCAGTATTGTGGAAAGAAGAAGATTTTTGGGGAAAAATTTATTATTAGTGCAAGATAAAATATTAGGCAAGATTAGTAATAGAGCTAGTTTATAGGACTCAATAAAAAGCAATCAAGCTCTTCACTCTTGAACACAACCTTCTAATCATGTTGCTAAGAGATGATCGAATATGAAGAGTTCAATAACATAAATTCCAAAGTATAAATTTATCAAAGACTTGCCCAAATATTAATCAAGCCAGACAAAAAGAGTGCTACAGCTATACTATCTAACAGTCGAAAGAGGATATATAAAAGTCTTGTCAGATACTATTTTTCTTTGCTCTAAAGTTATCCTCACCAATCCAGCAGAAAGAGAATACTGTTAATAAGAATGTTATGGAAATGGAAAAATAACTATGATAGATATTGGGACATTTATGTCCCAATAATAGGCGATCATTGCTAAGATCTGACTTTGACTTTTAAAACAAGCTACTTTGTGGACAATGACTGGTGATAGCCATCTTTGCTCTCTAAAATGGTGAAGATACATTTCTATAATTAGAGTTCTATAGAGCCATGATTTGAATTTTTGCCAAAAAATACGGAAATTAAATAACCTTTTCAAATTGTTAGAAAAAACAAGGGGTTTTGGGGTTTTGGGGTTTTGGGG